TTGCACTAGTTGGCAACTATTAGAAGTGATCCAAGGAAGGAGAACTGGTGAGCCAACCCCAGCGGTCTGATCACCCAAGGTTCACTGATGCATGTGAGTGAAGTCTGGGACAGGTGGTCTCAAATCATTTAAAAAGTTAATCAAAACACTATGTCTTTACAAATAAACTATGTTTCATGAAAAAAATGGTGTAATAGATGGATTTAACATTTGGTTAGTCAATTTAGGAGATGCGTCGGTTTGTGGTTTGTCAAACATTTCAACAGCTCAAATGTCCAATCCCACAGAAGAGTTACTGTGGCACAAATTACAGAAAGCCTTGATGCTGGTTATGATATAAAAGGTGTCAGAACACATAGTGCAGTGGAGCTGCTGTGTATGGAGCTGCATATCAGTTAGACTGCCCATGCTGACCCCTGTCTGCCAGGAATGGGCACATGAGCATCAGAACTGGAGCACTGAGCAATTGAAAAAGGTAGCCTGGTCTATTCTTTTACATCATGTGGTGGGCCAGGTGTGTAGTTTACCTGATGAAGAGATGGCAGCAAGATGCACTATGTGAAGGAGGCAAGCGGAGGGATGCCACATGATGCTCTGGCCAAAGTTCTGCTTGGGTTCTGCCGTTCAAGTGGATGTTCAAAGTGGTCTCTTTCAGCAGGATAAGCATCCCTGTCATGCATTTAAAAAAACTGTTGGTTTGAGGAACAGCAAGAATTCAAGGTGTTTACTTGACCTTCAAATTCCCCAGAATTAAATTTGATCAAGCATCTGTGGGATGTGCTAAAAACAAGTCCCATCCATGGAGACAACTTAGAGGACTTACACAGTGTGTTGGTAATATTTTGGTGCATGATACCATTTTCACACATCTTTGTGAATTTGACCTGTTTTGACAGCATGCGGGGATGGTACATAATATCAGGCAGGGGGTTTTAATGTTGTGGCTGTTCGGTGTATATGATGCAGTATCCCAGACTACAACGTGAATGCTTCCAGTACTGAATTGTTACCACTAGCAATGGGTATTACACTGTACGTACTATTCTATGGATTTACTAACATCTCTGTAATGTAATTTTTCTGCACATACCGGGAATCCAAATGTTGCAAAAAGTTTTTTTAAAATGTATGTACTGTTACTGTTGTGAGTATATTTCAAATTGACAATCGAATTGTTGTAGACCCCAATAATTGCCAGGAAATCCCATGAAGATATCTTTATTTTACCCATACGTGCATAGTAAACATATACATATATATATTAACTTTAATTTCATCACCCTTGATTTCTAGAATGATCCTGTTGTTCACCATCAAGCTCAACTATAAGCTAGTTTGTGGCATATATCACATAATCATGTATAGTCAGTCATGTCATTTATACTGCATGTTATCAGCACCTCATGAATCTCAGACTCCTTGTATTTCAGAAACAAAGCGTTTTTCAAATATGATATAATTAAAAAAAAAAAATACAATTCTGAAAATGTATTTCTAAATATTTATTGAACAGTTTATTGGTAAAACTATTCTACAGGTTTCCTTTTCAGTAACAGCAAACACTAATTGCTAATTTAGTTTCCTGTGCTTTCTGCCATAATCTCTGACAAAACTCTGCTTTTAAATCACAGCTAAGACCACCTAGAAAATACATAATACTGCTAAAATAGAATTTAAAAATGAGTGACTATAATATCCTCGCTGCTTGCTGGTTTTGAGTTCAGTCGATGCCTTTTGACAAACACAGCCTTAACTTTGGCACTCAAGATCCAAAACTAATGTGGACGAGTTGTTTCTCCCCCTTCTGGTCGGTGGCCCCTCACTTCATCATTATTAGGTCTTTGCACTGGATAGAACTTTCCTTTCATCTGCTATATCACCATCTGTCTGTTAAATCACTCCTCTGAAGTCACTTCTGTCCTTGTTTTCGATTCCTGTAATTGAATTTGGTAGACAAACAAACGGTCCAAAGAGATGTTACTGCACAAAGGCAGGAGTTGTAAACTCACTTGTGAGCTGATTTAGGATGCCCACCCAGTCCTGAAACCCTCAGTCCACAGAGAGGTTCACCTTTACAAAGTGGCTCTCACCGCTTGGCTGCTTTTTATCTCCTCTTTACGGGGAAAGCCTCTTGTTTTTTTGCTCTGTCATAATTTCAGGGAGGACATGGCATTTTTTTAAGGGACTGTGAAAAAGTGGGAGGCCTTGGAAGAATTAGAGGGTAAGTGCTTCCAGGGTGAGAGGTCAGGGGAGTCTTGAGAGGAGGCTGCAGGCTGCACTTCAGTTGACCCGTCACTGTGTCTCAAGGCTCAGTGCCTCAGGCCAGAAACCCCCTTTAGCTTTCTGTGGAACTCTCAGACGCTTCATAGCTCAAACTAGTGTCAGAGACAATATTGAGATGCTCTAATATGCATGTTTTTGCATGTTTATAGTGCTGCTGATGTGACTTTTCATACAAATGCCACACTTTTTAAAAAAGCTTACCATACAGGCTTCCACTGATTTTCATGATCCCCCCCGGTTACATATTATATGACTTGAAATCAACATTCAGAAGCTTCAAAAAATCTACTTATTGTTTAGTGTTAAATATGTGTTGACTTAATGATTTTCCAATGCACAAGTGCACAATAAATATGTGTGCTTTGTCCCTAAAGCAGTTGTGATGTTTACTGTGATTAATCATCAGCAGTAAGCCTGAGTACACCCTTGTGCAATAAACAGTTTTACAAGAACTTGATTATTTTTCAGTTGAAGACAAGTTTTGTGAATTTATTTTGTATCTGAAAACAAATAACCCTTTGGAGAAGCAGAAACAGTGTTGGCAGTGATGTCTTATATCACTGTTTTATTAGCCTGATGTACCAGACTGATCATGAAAAAGCCAATTTCATAAGTGTATTATCCAATGAGCTGGTTAAGTAACCGCGGTTCCCACAGTTACTTAACCAGCTGCATCTGCTCTCGGTTCAGCCAGCTCACTTTCTACTAACGGAGCTAATCTCCTCTCCCAAGTGAAGTAACCCGTTTATTGGAAAGTGGTGGTTCATGTCAACAAGGGTTGGAGGAGTAACCCAAATACACTGATACTGTTGTACTGACTGTAAATGCTGCCCTGAAAAGAGAGAAGTATTACACAGTCAAGGAGGTCAGTGGCGAGTGGGTTACAGAAGCACATGAAGATGCTGTGTGTCCAGATCAGATGGTAAATATGCTTTAGTTGTTTTACATTCATACATTAGCAGTAATTAAAAGCTAGAAGTGCAACACTGGAATACAATCACCTATTAAATTAATATAACAAACTTTTTTAGGAACATTCACTTAGAGCTGTGTTTCTGGTCACCTGAACATTTGCTCTGCTGTTAGCTGTGATTTTAGCCTCCACCATTCTCTACTAAAGCCTTCAATATGTGCACCAGCTAGTTGCCAACTTTCCCTTTCGGCCATTAGGTGCTGAGCAAGTCCAGTGGATTTATCAGAGATTTATTTTTTATTTTTTTGCTGACAGCAGCTGCCTGTTGTGGCCGACGGTGGCATTATGAAAGCATTTAACCAAAAGAGTAAAGCTGCAGGCTGCAAAACCAAAACAGAGAACTTAAAGACGTTAGACTCCCCCCTTTGAGTCAATTGTTCTCTACAGGTTCCTCACCCCTTTTACACAGAAGTAGACATGTCATCTATTTTTAATTTAAAAATAAATTTATAGAATCTTATCAGACATGAAAAAAGTATCCTCAGTCATCACAGCTAGGTTTATATATTTTTTATTTTTATTATCAACAGTATGCAATGGGCACCAGATTTTCAGCTTTTTTTTTTTTTCTTTTTTTTAAACAGGTAGCAAAGAGCAAGCATATGCTCTCCAACTCTGGCAGGATGGCAGACGTGCTAGATGAGTATGACATAGATTATTAGTAGAAGAATGCAAAGATATTCTCCACATGGAGATATTAGCATCAGCTGTGGAAAAACCTACGAGGGTAAAATGGCTGATGTCCTATAAACTTTTCATCTGACGCTCCAGAGAGGAACAGGGATACAGAAAAGGATGCAGAGCACCTGTTGTAACATGAGACTGTTGGTACACACTTACTTTAGCAGTGATTTTTATTCAGTGGACTTGGCACCATCATGAAGGCTGCTGGTAAGTTATACGTTTGCCTCCGGTGTCTCTCAGATTCAACATCAGATTTAGCCATGCAAATTTCTGTATCCGTTCTCATCTCACAGACGTGCATATCTGATATTAAATAGGCGGAACAGATCGGATAATGAACTTGATCTCTTTATTTCTTGAGAGTATAAATGTCGACCAGCTCAGACGAAGCACTTCAGCTAAAAATATATTCATAACTGGGATAACAGTATCCATATTATGATTCAGGTAATATAGTTGAAGGAAAAAAAAAACAATAGTGAAAATAAATTATCTGAATAACAATATTAATTATAATAACAATAATTATAATAAACAGTGTCAAATTAGAATTCATAAACCTTTTTTGTTTGCTTGTTTCTTTTGTGAAAATTCCTTTTAAAATCGTCCGTGAGCAAAAAATCCAGCATATTTTCATTTTAAAGTTGTGAAGGAGATTTTCTCAGTCTGGGACACCCCCCCCCAACCCCCACTTCTGTCTCACACATTTACAATATTCACAGTAACTACAAACCGGTTCAGCACATATCGAGCCACACTGCAGTCAGTCAGGCTGTCAGTAGGGACAAAATTATGAGGTGCAATGACATTTTCGTGTTTATATGTGTGTGCCTGGCCGACGGGAAGCAGAATCTCCCCCCTCCCCCCCGTCAAAATAGGTACCTATAGATAAGGAGTAAAAGGTCCTTTCCCCTCACAATACATCTGTTCTCCATCCAACCCCTGGCATATTCAATCAAGAGACACAAGCTGCATGTCTGTAACACTGTACACACTGTCCTCTGGTTCGACCCCCGTCTCCCTTCATGCGACCATCTCGGGTTCTCGAAGCAGCTCTGTGCCAACACCTCTCCTCAGCCTCTCAGCCCATCGCCGTCACCATGTTGGAGTGGTGTGGGTGGCCGAACGACGGGTGTATCGGGGTGGGCGTAGGGAGCATGTGTCCGGCGTGGCTGAAGGGCGGCAAGTGGCCCATGGACATGTGGCTGGCCAAAGAGGCAGCGCTGAAGGGAGAGTTCTTGTCGTGCAGACTTTTGGAAAACTCCTCATAGCTGTCACCGCATCGCTTGCTCTTTTTGGATTTGTTGGACATTTTCCGGTTGCGTGTCTGTATTCCTTCCTTTTTCATGGTCAGAGGCCGGTTCACCTGCGTTACAAGAGGTGAATGATGCGGTTAAAGTTTAGGGAGGACAGTTCGTTTTCACTCGGAAATCTATTTTGTATTCTCTATTGTCAGCAAAAGACAATAGAGAATACGAAATAGATTAAATATTCTTTATATAGTTAGTTTAGAAGCACTTTTCATTCATTTATTCACTTATTTATTAACCAATGTACCTCTGGCTGATGCATTTTACCATTTGCACTTAAATAGGTTTGCATACAATACAGTGACAAAAGATATTCTCTTCTATTGTGTAAAGTCCAACACCAAGTATACATTAGTTAATTCCTCTATTCTTACTTTGTCATCGTATCTGAGACATTCGTCCACAGTGGTTCCTAGAAAAAATGTAAACCTTCCCTTTCTTCACGTTTCATGTTTTATTTTATTTTTTTTACAAATGCTTTGTAATTTCCTGAACCAGCTGGGTGCTGTGGTTTGTTGCAAATGTAACACAAAAAAGTTGAAACACTATATTTGTAGGGAACTGTTTTCAGCGATGAATGAATATATAAAGAAGTATTTATAACAGTAGAAATATATATATGAGAATAATGTAAAATGTAACTACAGTGCATGTCACCCAGTGCAACAGTGCATTTCACTGATGTGTTTTAATTTTAATAGTTTAACAGGACAACAATGGCGCTTTATGACACAGAGAAGTGAGTTGTACCAGACATTAGCCATCAAGGCAATAATTGTTAGTAGAATCAAGTTTTTGTTTTTTACAAATTTGCATCCCTAGTAGCTACATCGTCTACTTTGATGCCTCTAGCCTTAATGCCATTCATATGGAGACTGGCCTTGTGGCAGCCCCACTTAACAACAGTCCCACCATTGTGAGTCTCAAGGGGATTACGCCTACCATGGAAACAATAAAGCACAAAGAAAGAAAACACCAACGAGTGCAACAGTGTCTGAGAGTAAAACAACCCTCATTCTCTCTCTCTCTCTCCCCCTCTCCCCACTCTCTCTCTTTTCTGCCTCTCTTATCACTCAACAATCAATGTAACCTGCCCGCTCACTTCCTGTCTACTTGGTCCTACTGGGCCCATACTGAGGTTCAGCAGTCAAATACTTACGTTGTGCAGTTTGTAGTAGAGGCCGCAGGCATTGCACACTGGATCTCCATTTGCATTGCGCCTCCAGAGCGTGGTGGTGGTCGTCTGACAGTTAGCACAACAGGTGCCTGCTCGTCTGGCTGCAGACTGTGGAAAAAAAAAAGATCAGGCTTTGATTAAAACAGTTTAGGGGGAATAGTGATATTTTCTGTGTGTGTCAGTATACACAATCTAAAACCAGCTTAACATTCTATTCTATTTGTTTAAACAGTTTCACAACATTTACGCCACCAAAGATTGTTATTATAGATTGTCATTGAATTCATTGGTCGAAGCAAAAAGCTCATCACATGTTCCCAGAGCACACTGTGACATTTTCAAATGTCTTGTTTTGTGAAGCAGCAGACCAGAGTTCTTCAATTAGTACCATGGGAAACTGATTTATGACTATCCCTAGATATCCTCAGTGTTTTGGCTGTAGATTTCAAATATCAAATGTTGTAAACAAAATGTCAAATGGAAAACATGATTTGGAAACAGCACATGATAGTACAAATATTGTTTTAACTCTTTTTGATTAGTTATAATCAATAAATCAGCATCAAACTCAGAGTCTCATGTCATGTAATAGTTATTTAACCTGATTAGTTCATGCTTTTAACTGAGTTCCACCACAAGACATGAATACAATAATCTACACCCTCAGTCAAAATGTTCCACTAACTATATTACCTTAATAAACATGAAATCAATCATTTTTTTATGATGTTTTTCCAACTTTTATTTTCAGCGTGGGCTGCTTAAATTGTGCCACATCAGCTCCCATACCATTTTTTTTTTAAAAAGAACAATATTTTTAAATTCACTGCACTGTTCTTTCTCTGTGGTGGACGGAGGGCTTGACCACTAGAAAGTGAGCTCTGGGCCTATAGTTAGTGAGCAAGGCCGCAGGAGGAAGCAGCCTCTGGCCCCCGCTGCTTTATCTGGACCGGTCAGATATCCGGATAGGAAACAACTGGAGGGCTGCTGCCACTGAGCGCACGACGCGGTGCAGCAGTGCGAACCCGGCCAAGCAGCACGGAAACCAGGCCTGATATATGACCGTATATGCATTTATGTCGCTGGAGACAAAAAAAAAGAAAAATGCTGTTATATTTTGTATGAAACAGACAGTTGTTTTACTGTTCGTATTTCAGTGTTTGGTAGATTTGATCCTCGGAGCGCCAGCGGCTCGCACGCGTCGACAAACTGACTTTTCATCAACGCAGGTGAATAAAAACGCATTTAAAAAGAACAAAAAAAATAAACTAAATGACTTCGCAAAATAGTGTCTTCTCTCGGTAAGTATTACCAATGAACTCTTTTCTCAGTAAACCATTACATATTCTTTCGTGGGTGAAGTTGCGCAAATTTCGTCGCGCCATGGCACATTATAATAAAATAAACTGCTTCTCTGCTTAGAAAAGGCTTTCATCAGAACAGATGCGCTTTGTGGTAAGAAAAATAAAATAAAAAATACCGCATTTTTCTTTTAATCAGCGTTCCTTGAAAATCAAAACTACTTCCAAACCATTTGCACAAGTCCTGCTTTTCAGTGTGGTGCTCCACTGTCGACCACTGCTAATTAGACTCCCACTGATTTAATGTGTGGTGACTCTGCAAACACTGTCTTCATTTTCACAGCCGCCTCCTGCTGCAACACACAACAGCAGCTGCACAGGGTCACATAGATGCATTCAAAATGTCAGGGGAAAAAGGCTGGTAAATTTCGAATTATTTCAAGCAGAGTTCTTGTTGGTTGCTTTCAAATATTTGATTGAAATTAGATTTCACCTTTACAGAAAGTTATACCCATCCTGGTGGAGAACAAGAGCTAAATGCATGTTTTTGTTGTTGTTGTTTTTTTGTGTAGGATGGGTGTGATGTGAAGTTGGAGTTGAATGTTGACCTACTTCTCAACAGTTTATGGTGTAAAATAGCTGTATGATCTGTTGCTCTAGCTTGTTTTTATACACCACGAGTCTCCAAAATGTCAACCATTGCCAGCTTTGTGACACTGAATATCCAGTTTTAATTTAGTTGTTTGTTTGTTTTTTTTAAATACCTTTACAAGTCAGAAGTCATAAAGCCAATAAATCTTATTAGAAAAAATGAAAATCACCAAAAGCAAAAAGTGAAGACACATAGTTTTCACTATCAACACTCTGCTGCCCACATGTCAAAAAATACAATCACACCTTTATTTAAACACTTTGGCCTTCAAATTTCAAAAGATCACACACAGCGGCATTACGGCCCACCAAGTGTCAGCGAGGCACAGTGTTGTTTTGAGGGATGGCACAACGACTCTGCTATCAATGACAGTATCAGAAGGAGCTCTAATAATGATAACAGAAACAACGCGGACAATCCCACTCGGCTAACAGCCTGAGTCGAAGGAGCAAGAGGTGAGCTGGAAACACAATTCCTGGAAACTGATTGGGAAAATATAACTTTCCTGGAATTGTGCCTCCTCCCCCTCCCCCTTCACCTTACGCTCTTTTTATTTACTGCCCTGCAGAATACACACACTGCGTTGTTCTCTTAAACACAGCAGCAGTAGTGCAGAGGAGGGGGAAAGACTCACCAGCCTGCGTTTGGGTTTGATGAGAGGTCGATTCTGGCCGTTCATCTTGTGGTAAAGGCCGCAGGCGTTGCACAGGTAGTGTCCGGTGCTGTCACGTCTCCACAGAGGTGTAGAGGTGGCTCCACAGTTTACACACTCACGGCCCTCTGAGGGAGAACACACATTGGCATTTGTTAAATGACAGGCCACATAATGTGTGAATATTCATTTTATGTACATATGTGTGGAACGCATCTAGTTTCAGAGGCCAGACTGTTTTCTGTCTTCAGCCCACAAGCAAGCATCTTCAGCTAAAGATTAGAGTAATTTTTGTGCCCGCTGAGAGTTTAGTAAAGAGGGAGAAACTCTGTCTGCATGCAGTGCTCCAGAAAATGAAGTGACTCCTTCACGGTTTACATTAGCAGAGGCACAAAACAGCCAAAAGTTGGATAAGACTTTACTGTTCTAGTAACTTCCTCTGGGCTGTCTTGCTCATCATTTCTAAAAGATCAATTCACCACCCATTCTTTATTTATTCTTTAAAAAAAAAAAGCCCACAGCAGAGCCATTTACAACCACTTTGTGAAATAAATCTGAGTTAAAAGCCTCTGACCCTTTTCAAGCTCATAAAGCAAACAACCACTAGAGAATAATTTAGACTGTAATGTAATAAAGCCTTCAAGTTTTTGCCAGCAGCAATCAGTGTTATTTGAAAAGAACAGAAATGTTTCATGAGAGAAAGTAAGTTTAGGTTACCCTGCACAACATCTCCGCTAATACTAACAGGCTTGAAGCTGGGAGCCTCCTGGTGTGTAATCAAATAACAATCAGGACAATGTATTAGTGTCTTATGTAACAGAGAAGCGACTACTAGCCTAAATACTGAGGTTTTGGCTGCGTGCGCCTGCAGATCTTTCTTTCACACCTCTGGGCTGGATCCAGTTCACTGTTCTGCTGCAGCCAGCTCAGGCGTAATTACAAAGTCACGGTTTACAGAAGAGGATTATCAAAGTGGCTCTGTGTCGAGAGCAGCTCCAGATATCACTGTTATTACTAGAAGCATTTCTGAAGATATTCTTAATTCCCAGGTTTCTAATTTTCTATTTTTTTTTAAACTTAATGATTCTCAAATCACAGCTTGCAATGGGCTAAGTGAATTTAATGCTTTTAGTTTGTTTGTTTTTTGTATACATATACCAAAAAGAAAACACCCACATAATTCATAATCACGTATATATGAAGGTACTAAATGGATTTTATAATTTATATTATAACAAAAGAGAAGAACACGCATCCTTCCTGACAGGCTGCATGGTTAAAACAGTTTCTCATTAAGGTTTTGTTTTATTCATAAATGTTATTTGTTTACATGCTTCAAATTATTTCCTTTCATTTTCTCATTTTATTATTTCAATAAGAGTTGTGTGATAATAATTGTACATTTACTTTATCTGGCATTCAGAAACTGCTTAGGTTCACAATTAATGAGGATAATAATCCTCTTCGAAGAATATTACCACAACATTTTATGGATTTTAAAGACTGTATTTAAAACACGTTGCAAAGCTGCACAATGAGAAAACCACAGACAGGCCTGCACAAATATTATCCACACTAAAGTGCCACAGGGCGTTTTGGAAATATATTAGGTTACTTTGTTATTGTTGGAGGGTTAACTTTAGGTTTAGTTTAGTTAGCTAGCTTCTACAGATCAAAAGAGCAGAGCAGTGATAAGATCGTTATATTCAGCCTCTACGTCCAAACACAGTCTGACTGGGTTCAGCTTTAATTTCCTTTATTTAATGCTGCAGCAGATCTGTGCGCTGGACTCACCGGTGCAGGACCGTGTCTTGCCTTTGTTCTTGGGGGTGAAGCTGGATGAGGAGCCCAGCAGGCTGCCCGGGTGGAACAGGCTGCCGCCGTACTCGTGGGCCGCTGGGAGCGAGTAGGGGGCGTACGTCGGTATGGGATGGTGGGTGGATGGAGTCTGGGCGTTCATGGAGGCCAGGCTGCTTCTCAGCGGGCTGGAGCCCTCCATCTTCATGCCCTCCGGTAGCGACACTTGGTATTTGATAGATTCCTTCTCGTCCATTCTGCTGGCTGGGGACGCGGCCCCCGGGTCCGGAGACACGTCTTTGGGCGGCGTGGGGGGGAAGGTGTACAGGTGAGAGCTGGAGTGGGACGGCGGCGTTAGCGAGGATGCGGAGGCCGCGTTGGAGTTGCTGCTGCACGGGTACACGGCGGAGAGAGCGCCCGGGGACGCGGATCCCGGGTGGTGCAGGCTGGGCTTGCTGAAGGGGCTCACGGCCCAGGCGTTGTGGTGGTGGGCCGACAGGGCTGCTTTCCCTCCATCCAGCCACGAAATCCCCGGACTGTGGAGGAGGTGGGGCCGGCACACCTGAGTCCCCGTCAGACGAGCTGTGGAAGAGCAGCAGATTTATAGAATATGGTGTGATGCTGATGCAAATCCACTCTATGGCAAGTGTGGATGCAAAAATAACCCAGACTTGTTGATTCATTGGCCTGATTTAAAAGTGCAAAAAAAATATTAAAAATAAACCTGCATTTTCTGAACTAAATCTACTTCACAAACCTGAGTTATCTAATCCCAAAATATATTTCAAAATTGTCCAACATAAAATACAAATAAATGCAAAATCACAAAAAAATCTACATCCACAACCACATGAATAAACTAGTTAATCAGACTCATAATGAAGCCATGCATTCATACATGTAAACAGAACATAATTCTCATTTTATTCAACAATTTCAACATGCTGAGAAATAACAGCCTCAGGTTTGATGTTTTAACTCTGACAAACGTCTCACTAAATTGTTTTCTGCTTTCCTTCTGGTGCTGACCAGCCACTGAGTTTCTGTGCTGTATATGTTGTATTTATGTAGCCTTGTGTTGCTTCCAACTCACCGTGCGCTTGGCTGTAGGACACCCTGGCCCTGGCAGAGTTGTGGTAGTACGGGTTTCCCTGTGAGTCCAGGTGATTAAAGAAAACATCCACCTCATCCGGAGGCAGCAGCTGCGCCGTGGGCTCCATGTAGTTGTGGCCCAGGCCGGGATGGTGAGAGTCCGGGTGTTGTCCGTTCAGCACGGCGTGGTGATGCATCCAGCGGGGCTGATCGGCCGCCACATCCATCTCTGTGGCTCCCTGAAGCGGGCAAAGTCAGAGAATATCCAGGGAGAGCACACGGAATAGTCTGAATGATCTTAGCTCTTCACTGTGTCCATCCACAGCACAGGATTAGTGCTTAGCTTTTTTTTTTGTTGTTCCTCTGAGTTAAATTCCTCTGTTCTCCTGGACATCGAGTCGAGTTTGACACTGGAAACCTGCAACAAGCAAACATCAGATGTTAATATTTTAAAGGCAGAGGTGTTGCGCTGCCTGCTGTTTGTAATCAGTCCTCTAAAAGCACAGCTTCTCCTCTGTGATGCAAGTTAAGAAAATAAATAGTCATTTAAAAAAAAAAAAAAAAAAACCCTCATCTCCACCCACCATATTTAATAACCTCCATGCCAAAGCCTGATGCGCATTTTTACGCACAACACTTACCAGGCTGTTTTACGCACCATGACAGTCACAGAAACGCGCCGTACCTTTCCCAATGTTTGATCCTCAGCGTCCGATCAGCTCACGTCTCTTTGGAGGGGGGGAAAAAAATCTGCTCTCTGTTCTCTTTCTCGGTGCTGCAGGTCTCCAGGTTTCGCTCGGTGTTTGTCCGAGTAAAACTCTGTCCGCTGGGACTTAAAGCAACACGTCTAACTGTGGCTGACAGCGCGGGGCCAGCCTTGTTAAGCTCTGGGGCGGAGTCTCCAATAAAGCTTTGACTCAGCCAATTGCGTTGAACCTCTGCAGGAGGCAAAAGCCGAGCAGAAAATCACAGAGATGTTTCTGTAATATTAAGGGAGACGTTGTCTGGCTGCTTGGAGCCATTAGAACTACTTTCTGTTTTATGGAGTTTAATGTTTTATAGACAATAAAGAATATGCACAAGCAAAAATGACTGTCAATTTAAAATGAATAGAGAATGACATGTATTTTTTCAAAAAGATATAACCAGTGTGTGCTGAGCCTGTAATATTTATAATAAATTTCATATGAAAAATGGACAGGTGATCAACAATAATAGATTATTTTTTGTAGTGTTGTCCTTTAGTCGTGATGCATCCCATTACATTTTTTTTTAAAGTCACATGAGGCTTGTTACAAGTTTGATCAGTGAAATAAAAATTATCTAATGATATAATAATGAAGCAGTGTCCCCTTATGAAGACATCAAGGCTTTTAATTTGAAAGGTTTATAGAAATCTTAATGTAATTTATATAGTGGGAATTAATCAGGAATTTAATTTATGTTTCATTTTTTTAAGGTGAAATCTGTTGCTGCATTGTTGCATGTGGTTTAATGTTTACTGCTTTTTGATCAGACTCTGCTTGGCTGAGAGAACACACACACACACACACACACACACACACACACACACACACTTTCTCTCTGCGTGATTGACAGACAATAATTGGAGAGGGAGCGCGTGCAGCTCGATGCCGCCGCCTGCTTGACGCCGTTCTCTGACGTCACCGCATCTTAGTGAAGAAAAAACAGATTCAGCAGGACGTGAACTTTTTTTTTTTTCCCAGCTCCGAGGGACACAGACACAGCAACACACACAGAGAAAGAGAGAGAGAGAGAGAGAGAGACGGGGGTTGCCCGGACTCTGCAGCAGTTAGTCCCAGCGGATGAACTCGAGGAAGGACACTGCAACTGATATTTACACTGTGGCAACATTAATAATACATCAAGTACATCCTCCTGACCCTGCTGAGATTTCGAAGAACAAGCCAACAAGTACTGAATGACCAAAATGACCAACTTTTTTTTTTTTTTGAGTGGAGATTAGATTAGATTAGATTAAACAGTTTAAATGGCCTCAATTCAAACAATTCTTTTCTGCAGAAACACGCCAACCATTAGAACTTTTGTTTGTAGTGAATTTATTAGAAAAAAACACACAGTCGATGTGCAGTCTGTGCATGAAATAGAACAAGAACATTTGTATTTTGAAGTCAATTATTATGATTTACCAAAAAAAAAAAAAAATTAAATCACTATAGCGGAAGTCGTGATGATCAACACAGATGTGGTCTATTTGCAAAATGCAAGGCTACAAAACATCTTTTATTTTATTTTTTTGTGGGTTGCACGTTGCTGCAGAGGCTGCAGGACCAAATGTTGTTTCTGTGAAATGGCAATTTGTCACTGATCAGCCCTTTTCTGGTTTTGTCATCTGTGCCAACTTGGGGGACCAAGTCTGCAGAAAAAATCTATCTATCTATCTATCTATCTATCTATCTATCTATCTATCTATCTATCTATCTATCTATCTATCTATCTATCTATCTATCTATCTAT